GAAGATTTTTTAATTTTTATATAAAAAGAATTTTAATTTTTGCATTATTTACAAAATTATTCACAAATTTATATCAGATAGAGCTTATTTTTCTACGAAAATGTTCAAACAACCAACAGATAGAGAGTTTTTCATGGAAACATAAAATTTTTATTTGAATTAAAATCAATAAATATTATATTTTATACAATTTAATGGAGGAAAAGAAACCAAATTGTTGAAAAAGCAACAGATTATAATGTTTTGGTCCAAAATCAATGTTATATGGTTAAACACGACAATAAAATTGATTTAATTAGTATCATAATGAGCGATATCTCAAAAACTATTAGACCGATTTTAAATATTTTGACGGATTTGTGTTCAGCATGTCCAAATTATTAAGAAGACTTGTTTTGCAACAGAAAATTATCCAAAGGGATCGAGTTTGAAGCAATTTTTGGATAAGATAGAGAGTTTTGCATTTTTTAAGATAGAGAAATTTCAAAAATGCTATAAAATTGCCAAAAAATATTTTTTTTTCTTTGAAATTTATATCACTGATGCGCGATAGTTTGCTGAATATTTTGCCATCAAAATCACATTTTCATAAAAATGACAGATAGCGACTATTGAATATAGTCCCTCGATATTTCCCCACCATCTTTTAAGATGATAACTAGCATACCCTGGGTGCTTCGCTACCCTAACTTAAATTAAATACATACAAAATTTTGTTTACTTGAAGAATATAAAAGTACCAAATAGTTCCCACTTACAGTATATTATTCAGTTAAGACCATGTATGTTAAAATTAATGTTCCAAGGTTGAATATTTTATAAAATTAAAAAAGTACCATTTATGAGATAAAAAGTACTAAAAGTTCTCTCTTAAAGAATCTTATTCAATGACGACCGTGTAAGTTTAATAATCATGTGTTTTGAATTCATATTAAAGAAGATACAAAGAGTATCATTTGAAGAAAGAAAAAGTACCAAAAGTGGAATAAATTTAACCTAAATGGAAAGTACTAATAAAGAATACAATTTTTCCCTTTTCGCTTAGAAATATTCTTTTTCGAGAATTAAGTTTATAAAATGTTCCGTATTTAAATCAATATATCACAGATTAAACTCAAACGATTCAAATCTGCATTCATTTGTTCCAGAAAAATAGTGCTTTCAAAAAGTACCAAACAATTTACTCGAATTTGGTTTATATAGGCCTTAGTACTCGAATTCCAAAATAATATACCAACAGCTTATTTTGTGTGAGTAACTAAACTACTTTTTCAAATTTTATAAAAATTGGCTCAATGAGTTTGAATAAAATTAAATTTCCCGTTTTTTCTCTTTTTGGTACTTTTTTCCCCAGTGAAATCAAAAATTTTATTACAATAAATATTACAGAGTTAGTCCGTAATTTAATAAACAGAAAACCATAAATATAGTTTTCTCATTTTATACCCAAAAAGGACTGAATTTTAGAAAAGTACGAAACAGGTGTCTCATAATTTTGGGAGATGTATGAAAATATTTATAAAAATTTTATTATGTTAATTAGTTCAAAAGTTATAAAGGGCCAAAAAAGGTACCAAAATCACCTTTGTTACACATTTTCACCCCTTAACAGTAAGAATTTCAAAAAAGTACCAGACACCCATCTGCTCATTTTAAAAGTAGATACAGGTGCATTTAATAAATTTTTCTTGTATCACTAATATTGTGTAAGATAATTAAGAAAACTTGTTTTACCCGTTTTTTTCCTTTTTACCCGTAAATGTACAAGTTTCCAAAAATCACTCCTTAGTGGATCCACATAACCAAAACTACATCTACTGTCAAAATTTCATGATTCTAGGTTCAGCCGTTTGGGCTGTGCGATGATGAATCAGTCAGTCAGTAACGCTACTCTTTTATATATATAGATCACTATATGAGTAATTTCTAAAATCTGTTTTTTCAATGAATGTTCGACAAAAATAGATTTGCTTTGAAATCAAAAAAGAAACATTTTATTCTAAACTTTATCCCATGATTTGTTTCAAAGTTATTTTAAAAATAATAACATGGCAAAAAAATATTAATATTTTTGTTCTCAAAACTACATATGGTTTTTTTAGAACTGCGACAATCTATAATATTATAAAGAATTACACTGTGCGGAATTGAAAAAATGGAATATGATATTTCTTTTATAGGCATGGCTTTATATACTATAACGAATAAAATTATAGTTGAAGACCCCATAATGTAAATAGTTATATTATGAATTCTTGAAAAATTATAGAACGATCTAGTAATGCCTTTTGGAAAGCCCTCTATAGTCCATAATGGCTCTGATCTCGCGTTTAAGTAAAGAAGAGCACAACAAGCCCGTTAGGCCTTACTAACTACGAACGGAATGACAATAATATATAGCCTCCATCTTTTTTGATGCTGGGTATAAATGCGGTTGTTATATTCTGATATCAACTAGCTATGCAGTTTGAGAATATTTGCCATAAAGCTCCAAAAAAATATTCAAATTTTGACAATGAGTAATGTAGTTATTTCATACATTATTTGGTAGTGAGTGGTAGTAAATATTGTTTTAACGACTGTTAACATTGTTTTAACGACCACAAACCAAAAGTTAGTGGTTCGAGCCCTAGTTGATATCAATAGTTTTTTGAAAAGATATTAATAATAATATTATTATGATGATAAAACTTTTTGTTAATGGGGGCATTTGGTAAGCGGACTGGATACATTCCTTAAGTATGGAGAAAACTTACGGTGGTATTTATCCCCAAAGCGGGAAATATGAATCATAGTACCGCCTAAGGCTGTAGACCGACCAGTCTGTCATCGTTTTTATTAAAAAAACGCTGAAAAGATTGGTCGATGTCCATGTCAGGAACATTATATCCCCTGATAAATTCTGTGGGTCAAAATACGCATAGGAAGGTCAGTGGAGACAGCCTTGCATGACGTAGTTCTGAAACTATTGAGAAAACACTTGACAAAAAAAAAAGCATATTATGGCATCTTATAGGGTGCGGGTATCAACGTGACCCGCAATATCCGCAATGGTCGATACATTGGGTAACTTAGGTGTTGACTAGAGGATAAAAAATTGGACATAGAACATGCTTAATAGTAGGGTCATTAAGTCTAATATGGGTATTGCCACAAGGTGGTGTCATCTCTCTACTCCTGTGGAATCTTGTTCTAAATAAAATCCTTTTCAGACAAAGTAGGATGGGTTTCAAAGTAGTCGCATATGCTGATGACGTTGTGCTTCTTATTCAAGGGATTGGATGGTACCATTCTGAATACCTCAAGCGAAACCAAGTATCTAGGCGTCATTTTAGACTTTCAGCTTTCGTACTTTCTATATATGTAAGAAAATTTTTGGAAGAGTGTACCCCGCAGTCATAAGACCTATTTTGACCTACGGGGCTCTTGTTTGGTGGAGAGCGGAGCGGAGCGGAGGATCCCAAGACTCACGTTTCCATTCTAAACTGGCTCTATGAACTTCACCTCCAGGTCAGTCTAGAGATGATACTAACTGCATCTTTGCTGAATCTGCTTTACGACTTTAACAGTCAAACGGACTGAAGCACGTATTGGTCATTGCACCATCCTACAAAAGATAGACAGGCCAATACCGGGAACTGAATCTCGAAAATTCTACTATACTTATCTACTTGGACAGTCTTACATCAATCAAGGTTCTTCAGTCCAACATTATTAAGTCGAAATGTTTTCTCAATTGTATCCAATCACTGGCACAACATCAGAATGAGCTGACATGGGTCCTAGGACATGAGGGCATCCGTGAAATGAAATATCTGATGAATACCCAACTAAAGGGTCGTACCTAGACATAAACCTTGCACAAAAGTATATTCATATTCCTCTGGTGACCTTATAGAAATTGATAGATGACTGGCCGGAGCTCAGGTGGTCATATATCACCACTTGTAGAATATCGAGACTGCTCTGGCCCACTCTGTCAAAGGATAGGACTATGATTCTCTTGGTTTTTAGTAAGAATTCGATTAGGCTTTTCACGGGAATAATTACTGGGCACTGTATGATTGGACATATATATGTCAGAACGTATGGGCTACCCACCTTCTGGGAAGAAGACACCTTCTATGTGACTACCCAGTCTTACAAGAGCATAGACTACTCTATCTTGGTAGAACTCTTTTCCATGAAATGCTTCGCTAGTAAATATGATCGGATTTATTAGAAATACCGGCTGGTTCTCATAGGGACCACAGGAACCATATAGACAATGAAATTAGGGAGGGAAATCATTCTCCTTTATGTAATTCTAAGGCTATCACAATGGGCCACAAAGCCTCCGAGAGCAATCCACGTAACCTAACCTATGTTTTGGACCTCATCCAACAAAAATAAGTATTTAGTTATTCAGAAAAAAGGGAAGTACTTCCACTTTGCTTCAACATCTCTTTGCTGAGATTTTTTGACATGTCATCTATGAAAATAATGAGAGTATTTTCAACAAAGCCTGGCAAGCGTTTAATTCGTTGTAGTACCGTGTTATGACGTCATAATTGAGATAATAACAGAATACTCTGTAACTTTATGCTAGTATCGTATTGATGCTGCTGCCTCTTGTAGGGCATTAGTAAGAATAAATAATAAATATTTATTTAAAATATCATTTCTTTGGAAATAACAAATAATCTGGCAAATTCTTATCAGCGTTTTGGGATTTTTTCATCGTCAAAGATCATTTTAAGTCACATAAATACTGACAACTTAAGCTTTTAACGATTAGTCTTAATTTCAGTTTACATTCAGAGCGTGATACGCGAACTTATAGTTATTTTCGAAAGTAAATAAGTTTTAAATAAAATTTATATATAAATAATATTTAAAAACAAATAATTAAAAAAAATCAATATGAGGATTTTACTCTCATCGTTATTGCTACTGGCTGGTATAAATCTAATTTTGGCACGTTCTATATATTGGGATGCCGATTACAATCCAAACACCTGGATAAATGATCTTGAAGACGAGTTATTTGCAATACCTTCAAATCGCTATGATGATGATTTTCAAAAAATGTGGTTGGGAGAAAATTCTGATGAATCACCAGAGGTATTAAGAACCCTGCATGATATCATTGAGGAGTTTGATAACAGTAAAGAAAATGGAGATGATAATGACAATGTCGAAGAACACATTGTGGATAATAATAAAGATGTTAATAATGATGATAACGGAAATTCAGAGGAAATATTAAAATCCATACAGGATCTAATGGATGTTTTAGAAAAACCTGAAGAACATAGCGAAGTTGAACCATTTATTATGCATAGAAATATAAATAATAATAATAATGATGATGATGATGACGATGATCATCAAAAGAATATATTTAGTATATTCTTTAATAATCCATTTGTTCACAGTGAAAATGGATATGAATCGTCTGAAGAAAAAAACGATGATGATGAGGAAGTCACAACCATGCAAGGAGAAATTCTTGATTTAACAAAATCTTCTGAAGAGAAGTCACAAGACGATGTAATCGATATTTCCGAAAAGGATATTGAAGAATTGGCTGCTTTAATGATAACTCTAAGTGCCATAGACGATTTAATTGAAATTTCAAATAAAACACCACAATATGGCGAAGAAACTGAGGACGAGTTCAAATCCAGGGAAGTCGATGAATTTTTAAAATTATTCACTTCCATTTTAGATGAAATTATAAAAGAGGAACATAAAACAAGTTCTAGTAATGAAGATAAAGACAACAATGACAATGATAATGACGATACTACACCCAAAGACGATAGCAATGAAGAGAATGATGATGAAGATGTTACTACTCCCAAACCTGATAGTGATGAAGAGAACGATGATGATGATGAAGATGTTACTACTCCCGAAACTAATAGCGATGAAGATAATGATTACGATATAACTACACCCAAAAATGATAGCGATGAAGATAATGATGATAATAACAACGACGATACTGATGATAACAGCAACAGTAAGGAAAATGAAATTGATTCATTCGATCTAACATTCCACAGCATTGATGATGCTGATCAGGAACAAAATCTTAACGATCACAAATACGAAATTGTAGATCCAACCGTAACACAAGAAATAAAACCCACCAGTTCACCCTATACGTCAACGAATTTCGATGACAACAATGTCATCCAGGAATATGTTGAACTACGTCAAAATGTCGACACCGAACAAGATACTCTAATAACGAATGAACACAATTTGGATAAAGATTTCTATAATATAATTTCAAACAATTACAACGAAGAGAGTATTAAAAGATTTGAGAAGGATTTTTTCCTAGTTCGTGAAAATTTGGATAGAATCAAGCGTAATATAAATGCCATGGAAAATCTGAGTTCTAAATTGTATTTACATAAGTTGGTTAATGATGCTGTTAAAAATGTTCGTAAATAAGACGTAAAATCAAATTATTCTGAATTCTCTAAAAGCAAATATCTAGCATGTAATGAAATTATTATTTTGTCTATATTTAACGAAAATAAATTAAATATACTTATTATAAACTGTGATAAAAATGTCATATCTTTTAATTCAATAACAAGTAAGAGTGCTGTATTTGGTCTTGTTGGTTCTAATGTACCTTTCAGCATTTGTATATATTTTAATAAAAATTTAACCCACTTATTCACAAACAAAATTTTTATTTTATAATCGGTTTATAAATTATATTTTGTACAGAAATTTTGTTTTATAAACCGTTTATAAAATAAAAATGTTGTTTGTGAATAATGTTTCTTTTATTTTAATGTTTATTTTCTTAATTTTGTCATGAATAATATTTTTCTGTCAAATCCACATATTTTACTGTATTTAAAATCCTTCAACTATCTATCGATCTATCGATCTATCTATCTATCTATCTATCTATCTATCTATCTATCTATCTATCTATCTATCTATCTATCTATCTATCTATCTATCTATCTATCTATCTATCTATCTATCTATCTATCTATCTATCTTATCTATCTATCTATCTATCTATCTATCTATCTATCTATCTATCTATCTATCTATCTATCTATCTATCTATCTATCTATCTATCTATCTATCTATCTATCTATCTATCTATCTATCTATCTATCTATCTATCTATCTATCTATCTATCTATCTATCTATCTATCTATCTATCTATCTATCTATCTATCTATCTATCTATCTATCTATCTATCTATCTATCTATCTATCTATCTATCTATCTATCTATCTATCTATCTATCTATCTATCTATCTATCTATCTATCTATCTATCTATCTATCTATCTATCTATCTATCTATCTATCTATCTATCTATCTATCTATCTATCAAAAAATTTATTATGGACTTGATGAAACTTAGTTCCATATATGTTTAAAGATATTACTAATTGGAAGTATCCTCATTACGGAAGCAAAATTTAGATTTTCGCAATTTACTAAACCCCTATTTCAACTAGTTTGAAATTATTGTTACCCTAAACCTGTTTTCGTCAAATGAAGCCCGATCATTACGAAATTGGGCATCATTACGACTTGTATTAAACTTAGTTGTATCAATTTTTCACGAGATTCTAGTGTATGTAAAACACCAATTCGGTTTGTTCTGATATATGGGGACTATGAAAATTTATGAACCGATTTCTACCATTTTCAATGGGCTTAGTTCTTATGTATGTCAAGTTATCGTTATTGAAACAGATAGACGATGTTTTCGAATCTTATAAATAGATTCAATTCTGTCAATCTACTATTCTTACTTATATATACATATATATGACGTATGTATATTGAAACAAAGGTTTTGAATAGTTCACAATATATTCAAATAAAAAATTTCTACATGTAACAGCTTGTACCGATAGCACGAGTACTAAGTAAAGGTGTTTTTAAAAATGTCACACATTTGCCATTCATTTGATAATAAAATAGTCATAAAAACCATTTAACTACTAGTGTTAGGGTGGTTATATTATACCAAACCCCAAACACCTAAAATTTAACCGATTATTTTCAAATTAATCCGCATTCATCCAGATTAACTTTAATTCCCTTAATTTCGCTTGTATATAACATTTTAAATTATTTGAAGAATAAAACCACCCTAATGTATTCTGATAAGAAAATATAATTTAAACTAGTATTTTTGAGATTTTGTAAACAACAGTCGCATTATCAACAGTCCAAAAACCTCGCATTATAATTAAACCATCCGATTGAATTCTATCAGTATATAATTCGATTAAGTACGAATACAAAGAAAAATTTAAATAATGAGAATCTTTACAGTCACATTCTTGCTCATAATATTTCCATTAATTTTTACTCTGGCCAAACCATTACAAAGTTCCGAAGTGAATGGAAAGAAGAATTCAAAGTTAATATTTGGACCAATAGAAGAAACTAATTCTAATTACCTCGCTGGAGAAATACAAATGGAGGTAACAGTTGCTAGTCAGCCAATATATTTCCGACAAAGGAGTGATAAAGCGATAAAACTGGATAATGTTACAGCGGTATAATTAATTGGAATTATATTTTTTGTGAAATAAAAACTTAATACATTTGCAATAAATATTAAATATGTGTTTGTAATTTAAAACAATTGAGAGAGTTGTAATCGGCAGTGTCGAATATTATATACCCAACATCGTTAAGTTTAAATGAGTTTCTTAAAGTAACTCTATAATAGATTAGAAGCAATTACCGACCGGTACTGTCGCAATTGAGTACCGCGATTTAATAAATTATGTAAAGTTGTATAATTAGTTATAATTAAGTATGTACACAGAAAAAACTAAAAATATGTTTCAATTATCAAAATAATTGTATCAAGCAAGTTTTGCACCTATAACCAAAATGATGATATCAATTATCAAATTTGTAAAAAAATTAAAAAAATACTTTTTTTTCCAAATAACGAATTAATCAGAACAATTAATATCAATAATTGAGACAAAATTTAAAATAGATTAATTCATTAATTGTATAAATTAAATATTTAATAAAAATAAAATCTAATTTTTATTAATTTATAAGTTTGTTTGGTAAAAATGTATTAAAAACCAATTAAGTTGATGATTAAAACAATCAAATTATTAATTGATTACTCACAATGTTAAAGGAATGCTTGACCTTTAACAATGCGTTGAGCATTTACAAAAAATATCACTTTATTATCAAATTTGAACATATAAAGTGTTTTATAAATTGTCATGAAACTTGAATATTATATGCCTAAAATCGTATTGACTATTTAAGAATTATATACATTGTTAGCATAAGAAAACAAAATAAAATATTTAAAAAAAAACTAAAATAGAAAAGTTGGCCAGAAAATTTTTTTCAATCAATTAAAAAACTAATTGAATCAATTAAAAATTTAATCAAATTTGTAAACTTTGGTTTTAAACAACGAGATAATTAAGACAAATAAAAAATTGCTTAAATTAAAATTAAAGAAAGAGAAAAACATGTTAATTGAAAATAAACTACTGATAATTTTTTCTGTTTATAAATATGAAAAAACATTTATTTCGGTGTTATGGTAATATGGCTTTCATTACGGACCAAACTCTATTGAATTTTATAGATTATCTCGTTTCTCACACAAATCATTTATGCCCATTTTTATCTTAACTAATATTTAAAATGTTATATAAGAAGAGCATAAGGAATAAAAAGCATTTCTAAATGGCGGGTCCGTTTAGGATAAAATTTGAAAGGAAGTAACTATGCGGTATTCCTGTTTAAGGTTTGATCTTCCAAATGCTATAGGGTTGGCTCAAAGCTGAGAACTTTCCAGATATTTGTGTTCCTATAAAACTCTTTTGTGTCGACTTTTGTTACTCTACTGCTTGTATAAAGCCAGTACGATTGCTTTATAATTACTTATTTATGATACTTCTATGGGGGCTAAGTGAAAGCGTTAACCGATATTGCTCAAGAGAATAGGTTGCAAACTAAAAGCTTAAATTTCGTTACATACAACAACAAAATCTTGTGAGTCCACTCAGAATACGTACCATCATACTGACATCGGACTTGCTCATTTTAAGGAGATTTCTCGTCTTGCTCTTATTAGAGTCACCCCATAGGATTTTTGTGGTTCTACCCACCGTTTCATTATTCCAAGAGGCCTTATGGGATTCTCTTATTCATATTTTTAATTCACCTTTTGTAGCGTCGAAAGGTTTTGTGTTTGTCAGGTTAACTACCTCGAGCTCCCTTCCCTTTAAAGCTATTACATTCGCCCTTTCGAATACTCCCGAGTGACCTGGTACCCATATGACCAACCTTTGGGAGAATATTCAGTTAAAGCTTTCTTACAATCCAATATGGTCTTTGATTTAATTCTATCACCTGATATCGCCCTAATTGCCTGCTGGCTGTCGGTAAATATATTAAGACCTATGGGCGCCATATTTATTCTAATCCAATTTACACATTCCGTTATTGTTTGAACTTCTGCCTAGAAGCTTGTGTTATGATTAGGTAAACGGTTTCTGGGTACCTTCAATATAGAACCCCAGGCCCACTTTGTCCCCCAATTTAGAGCCATCCGTGTAGCAACGGATTCTTACTGGTATTTGCTCTAATGTTCCGCTTGACCAAGACAAAGCAATGCACCCGATTATTGAATAATAAGCTTGAATTGAATAATAAGCTGAATTTTATAAAGCCAATTTGTCATAGTAGGACTAAGACACATTTCATGCCAATAGTTCTCCTACATATCGCCCAGCATCGATGTGCCTTGTTGATCCTATACTCTATGTGGTGTCCCCACTTTAATTTCCGGTCAAAGATTACACCTAGTACTTAACATTGTCTGTCACCGGTATCTTCTTGTCCAGGAAGCAGGGTTCAGTATACGTAGAAATTTTTGTCTTTCTTGTGAAAAGACAGATTTCTCCTTAGCTCTTCTAGGAAAGGATCCAAATTACTTGTGTAACCCAGAGTAAAGGTGACAAAATGCCATCCTGTGGTATACCGCGAAATACCTTATTCCTGATAGTTATAACATACATCTCACGGCTTGTCCATCCTTGTTCCTTAGCATGTAGTTGATCCAGGGATCCCCCGGTCAACATAAAACTGGTCTAGGGATGGTGTAGAGTAAATATTTAAAAAGAAATTTAAATTATTGTCGATCTTGATCAATTTATTTCACTTATTCCTTACATACTTAATCTTATTTTGGAAATGTGTAATCTGTTTTGAAAAAAAAAATATAATCATCGCCTTCACCTTGTTTTTTAATTACCAGGGGAACTAAAAAATATGCTCTAAAAAACAAAAACTATAAAAATATGAACTTTATGCAGATTTTTTTAAAAGTAGTTGGAATATGTACTAAGACGTAAACAAAATCTAGGAACAATATTATTAGTTCCACAAAAACTTCTATAATT